CGTGTAAGCCCGTTTGAGTTCAGCTTGAGTAGGTTGAGTTTGGGAGTTTGGCATAAATGGATTAACATATAGCAATTATTTCACAGACGTCATCGAAAGTAATTTCTATAAGTTTCTTTTTAGCATTTGGAAAAGTCAATTACACAGCTACTTTAGCTATATAAAGCTTATGGGTAAATTATATATAGAGAAATTTAGGGAAAATGGAGGGGTGTTTTTTTTGGGGGATTTTGGCGGGAGATTTTTTGAATTTCCACTATTTGCTTAATTATTCAAAACCACCGTGATTAATTTCCTCTTGCCTCCACTCCAATACTTTTCTAAGGCAACCAATAACTCCCTTAATTGCCTCGGATTAAGACAGTTATGAGTGCCTTTCAAATTTATTCGGTACTTTTTGGTGACAAAAGGAAGTTTATTTAAAGGAATTAAAATCTTAGTATTCAAATTAGCAAAAGACTTCTCATATTTTTCTGAATCTAAACAAGGGCAGTCTAATTCTAATGCAAATTTATGTGGATAACGTGCTTTTTCTTGGGAAGTTACTGAAAGCACTAGCAACCAACTGGGGCGGAGAATATATAAATAAGGTCTTTGTTTCCGGAGATCAGTGAAATGATTGAAATCATTATAGCCAATGCTGTTTGCCATTGATCGTTAATAAGTTTTGACCATATCCTTTCACAGAGGATTAACTAAAATTCGGTAATCGTCCATTACTTCTTCATCATAAATAAAAGTATTCTTGGCTTTTTTTTCTTGGGCTTTTCCTCAGGCGATGTCTTCACAAACAAAATATTCTAAGTCTCGGTTAGTGTAATTTGTTTTGAGATAATGGAAAAGGCTGGTGAGAAATTGTCTAGTTGCTCAGTCGAGTTTAATTTTTGTAGTGACACGTAAAGAAGAAAATTCTTGGGCGATACTTTCGACATACCCGCCATGTTCATAAGCTTTAATTTTATCCTTGAATAGTGGTTGTTCATAGTGAGCATAATGGAGCATTTGGGCAACTTGCAAATGAGCATTTAAGCGAAAGTTACCCATGGATAATTTAGCACTGAAAAAACCATTGAGTCTACGATTAGTAAAATATTTTTTTTCTGGGTCGAGACTAAGCAAAAAAAGGGCTACTTCTTGAGCAGTGTAAGGAGGTTTTTGCTTTTGGATGATTGTTTTCATAATAATGGTTTTCTTACTATAATTTTTAACCAAAACCATTGTTAACACGGATCTTCCAATAACAACCAAGCCAAATTCCTTAAAAGTCCTGGTTATTATCATTCAATTCAATCTATATAGCAATTTTAACCTGACATGTCAAAAATAAATCAAAAAAAACTCTCCCTAAAAATCAAACAAAA